CCTAGGCGCAGAAACACCGCCGTGGACTCCCAGACACTTATTTTTTTTTTTACTATTTGTCACTGTTGCCCATCACCACAAGGAAGCGACGGCAGACTTGACTGCCTCGCAGCTCACTGCTTTTTTCCCAGATGGCTACCCCTGGGGCAAATGCAAAAGCTGGATTTATTGAGCATTTTCCAACCTGCTTCACCCCCAGATCCTCAGAATAACCCTGTGGAGAAAGTAGGGAAGGGGGTCACCCCATTTGGACAATGAAGAAATCAATGTCCACAAAGATAAAGCTTTGCTGGAGTCCCTCTGGTTAATGGGTGCCCGAGCTCAGCCCAGCGCCCCATGACAGAGGCCTCCATCACATGACACTAGGGCTGACTCCTGGCAAAGTGAGTTCCCCTGGTGACCCCAGACCAATTCTTGAGTGTCTACAGGCAGCTGCCCAGGACACCACACCTCCCCACCCCAAAGCCCCGCCCACTCCATGGACTCTCCTGTGGACTGTGCATCTCTTTCCCTTTCTCTGAGCTCTTCAAATGTCCTGTTTCCTCTCCCCTCCACTTCAGCCGTGTCTCCGATAAACCAGTTCACCAATAATTGTCTGTAATCCTTACAGCTCAGCAATACTTGCAGTCTGACAGCTGACTACCGAAAGGGCAGTGTTCAGCCTAAAGGTCCAGGTCCCCAAGGTGGTCAGGTGGTGTCCTGGAGGTGGGGCCTCTCTAAAAAGAGCAATAGAGGATCCTCCCATTGTTCTTTGTGTGCCAGGCACTGTGCCAAGCGTTTGGCATGTGTCAACTTAGGGCTCCTTTGAACAGCCCTGTGCGATGGGCTAGTTCAGAGACAAGGATAAGGCACAGAGAGGCTGCCTGAGTCCGTCCGAGCTGCGCTAACAAAATCCACAGGCTGGTGGCTTAGAAACATTGGAAATTTATTTCTCACAGTTCTGAAGGCTGGAATCCAAGGTGGAGGCACCAGCACAGAGGCGTTTTGGAGAGAGCTCTCTTTCGGGCTCAGCCAGCGCCTTCTTGCAGTTTCCTCACGTGGTGGAAGGGGTGAGGGCTCTCTCCGGTGTCTCATAAAAACTAATGGGGGGGCAGAGAACTATAAGAGAGAAATTCAGAGGGAAAAACTCAGGCTGGAGAATGTCCTTCCTGGGTGACAACTTGGAACAACCATCTGCTTTCCTTAGGCTTCTGCCAAGTGGGGTCTGCCTGCAGCCCCTTCCCACTGTCAGGTAACTCCAAGAAGGCCCCCAAAGTGGGGAAAGGCGACAGGGAGCTGCTGGGAGTCAGCCGGAGGGTAGAATTTTCTGATTGTGTCCCTACCCCTGCCTCTCCCCTCCCCTCCCCACCTCTGCCTCTCCCCTCTCCACCTCTGCCCTCTCCCCTCCCCTCCTCTGCCCTCTCCCCTCCCCTCCTCTGCCCTCTCCCCTCCCCACCTCTGCCTCTCCCCTACCCACCCCTGTCTCTTCCTTACCCACCTCTGCTTCTCCTCTCCCTTCCTCTGCCCTCTCTCCTCCCCACCTCTGCCTCTCCCCTCTCCTCCTCTGCCTCTCTCCTCCCTTCTCCTGCCTCTCCCTTCCCCACCTCTGCTGTCTCCCCTCCCTTCCTCTGCCTCTCCTTTGCTGCTGACTTCAGTAGACGGGCTCAAAAGAGCTGATATGTCCAGGGGCAGAAATCCAAAGCCAGGAGAGAAGGACTTCTACCCCATTAGCCTGCAGGGGTTCAGAGAAACCAGAGAGGGCACTGTGGATACCTCAGTGGTGGGGCCATGGTTCCCTCCCTCTCTGGGCTCTGTGGACTTGGCAAGACTGAACATGCAGTTGCTTATGTAGGGTGAGCTGGGTGGGAGGGAGGCCCACAGAAAAGCTACTTGGCACACTAGTGGTTAAGAGCACAGATGCTGCAAAGCTCGACTGCCTGGGTTCAAATTTAGCTTTGCTATCTTCCAGCTATGGGACCTTGAACACGTTAACTAACCCCTGCTATGTTCTGAATGTTTGTGACCCCCAAATGCATGTGTTGAAATGTGATGGTGCGAAGAGACGGGGCCTTTGGGAGGTGATAAGGTCATGAGGTTGGAACCCTCATGATGGGATTAGAGGCAGAGGAGGGGAGGGGAGAGGCAGGGGAGAGGAGGGGAGGGGAGGGGAGAGGCAGAGGAGAGGTAGGGACACAATCAGAAAATTCTACCCTCTGGCTGACTCCCAGCAGCTCCCCGTCGCCTTTCCCCGCTTAGGGGGCCTTCTTGGAGTTACCCGACAGTGGGAAGGGGCTGCAGGCAGACCCCACTTGGCAGAAGCCTAAGGAGAGCAGATGGTTGTTCCAAGTTGTCACCCAGGAAGGACATTCTCCAGCCTGAGTTTTTCCCTCTGAATTTCTCTCTTTGTGTCTTCTGGCCCCCACTGTCAACTTCAGCTCAATGGACACCTCCTCACTCTGCCCCAGAGGAGTGCCAGTCCTGACTTGAGTGACAGGGGAAAGTGAGCCAGGCTGGAAGGCAGGGAGCAGGCTGCATTGTCACTACAAATGGGACTTCGACCTGCGCCTTCACCTCTCTGAGCCTCAGTTTCCTTGCCTGGGAAGTGGAAATCAGAATACCCATCTCACGAGATAGCTCTGAAAGGAAATCAGAGAACTGGGAACATTGACAGCAAAGTAGACAGCACAAACTACTTCGGTGTCGGGTATTTATCCAAACTGTATGTAGCGTGGCGTTATTTCGTGGGCTAATTTGAGGCCCTGCCGCTTCCTGTGGACGTCAGAGGAGCCGAAGCCCCTGATGTGGTATTCACTACTCTTCGCTAGATGACCAAAAGGTAGTCAGTCCCTCGGGGGCCTACGCATTTCAGCACTGAGATCTGCTTTTTTTTTTTTAATTAAATTTTTTTTTTAATTTTTCAATGACAGCTGACATTCCATATTATTTCATTTCAGGTGTATACACAGTGGTTAGACATTTAGATAACTTACAAAGAGATCCCTCCAATAAATCTAGTACCCATCTGGTACCATGCAGTTATTACAACATTCCTGGCTATATTCCCTGTGCTTGTACTTCGCATCCCCGTGACTGTAACTGCCACTTTGTATTTCTTAATCCCTTCCACCTTTTCACCCAGCTCCCCAACCCTCCTCCCCTCTGGCAACCATCAGTTTGTTCTCTGTATCTAGGAGTCTGTTTCTGTTTTGTTTGTTCATTTATTTTGTTCTTTTTTTTTTAAGATTTTTTTATTTATTGGGGAATTGGGGGGATGGGAACAGACAAGTTGCTGTCGTTTTGTTCTTCAGTCTAGTTGTGGAGGACATTGCTTCACTGGCCCAAGTTGGCACCATCATTGCGCTCTTCCCAGGCGAGGCAGATCAGTCACCGGCTTCTGGACGGCCGCTCACTGCGGCTGCTGGCCGCTCACGCTGGCTGCTGGCTACATACGGTAGCCCATGGCAACCCACTGCCACAGGGGCTGCAGCCTACGCCGTCGCCGGCGACTCACGGCAGCCCAGCTCCAGGTTGAGCTGTTGTTCAGCATCTTAGCTGTGGAGGGCAGTGTCACTGGCCCTCATATGTGGGATCCGAACCGGGGCCCTCTGGCGTCCCAAGCCAGTTCCCAACCATCGCGCACTCGGCCGGCCCATTGATTTTGTTCTTTAGATTCCACTTATTAATGAGATCATATGGCATTTGTCTTTCTCTGTCTGACTTACTTCACTTAGCATAATCCCCTCTAGGTCCATCCATGTTGTTGCAGATGGCAAGATTTCATTCTTTTTTATGCCAGAGTAATATTCCATTGTATATTACCGCTTATTTATTCAATCGTCTATCAATAGGCACTTAAGTTACTTCCAAAACTTGACTATTGTAAATAGCACTGCAGTGATCAGAGGGACGCATATATCTTTTCAAATTAATGTTTTGGATTTCTGCGCATCAATACTCAGAAGTAGGATTACTGGGTTATATGGTAGTTCTGTTTTTAATTGTTTGAGGAACCTCCATACTAGTTTCCACAGTGACAATCCCCCCAATAATACCTGCTTTTGATGATGCTAATAAGAGCGTGGGCTCATCCTACATCCCTGCCGATGGCTCTCTGACTGTTCTTCTTCCTCTCAGCCCATCTCCAATAAGGACCAGAGCCTGTCAAGGTAAGGTCTTCCTCCTCTGAACTTCGGTGCGGACATTCCAATTCATCTCTCGGCCACCTACACCATCCACACGATCCATTTATATACTGTATCCAGGGGTAGGTTCCCACCCCACAACGCGGCTCGTGTCTCTGCACATCCACATGATGCCTCCTTCCCCACAGAATTAAGTTCACATTCTTCCCTCTTGTATCCACTCTCCACAATCACCTTCCTCTCCCTAGTGAATCTTATGGAATTACCGCAGACTCTGTCACAGTTTTGTGTTCCGGTCCTCACTGCTCACGTTCTTTCTTGGAAGGAGACATCTGCTGTTTCCCAGGGAACACCACACAGTCTGATTTCTGTGCCTGTGTGTCCTTGTTCCCTCCATGAACTGTGCCTCCCTCCCCGCTCTCCCTCCAATCTGCTTGTCTTTGAGGACCTGGGTAAAATGCCACCTTTATCAGGAGACTCCCAGATCCAGAAAGCCTTCCAGTGACCTCACGGGTGTTTTACACAGAGCTCCAGAGCAAGGTCAAGCTGACCTTGCTGGAAGGAGACATCCTGGATGAACAGTGCTTGAAGCGAGCCTGCCAGGGCACCTCGGCTGTCATTCATGCCGCCGCTGTCATCGATGTCTTCAATGTCATTCCAAAAGAGACCATCATGAATGTCAATCTGAAAGGTACAGTCCCCGGGGGAGAAGATGGAGGGGGTGGGCAAGTGAGGCTGGGAAACGGGATGGGGGCGGGGAAGAGAAAGCCCCATCATGGACCATCTGATGAGTTCTGCGCTTTCGCTTAGCGCCACCAGCTGGGAGAACCAAGGCTGTCCTCAGGTTTTTAGATGAGAAAAGTAAGGCTGTGAAAGGCTAAGTGACGTGTCCAAAGACCCACAGGTCGGAGAGGGAGAGCTAGAATGTAAACCCACACCTGCATGACTCTAGGGGCCACAAAAGCTCACCTGCTGCCCCAGTCAAGTGTGGACTAAACCCCCACTTCAAACTCCTGATATCAGCCACCTCCTGCCTCCCCTGGGCTGGAACCAGACCTAACAGGTGCCTCCTTAGCCATCATTTCGGCCACTCTGTGTGGCTCTAAGGTGGTGGTCGCACAGTAAGTAAGGCCAAGAACTAAGAGCTCTGTGACACAAGGTGGACCCCAGTCAGTTGCAAGCAGTGGGCCACAGCTCCGGGCCGGTTTCCTTCAGGCAAGACCTTCCTCACGGGGTCTCCCAGGGTAATGAGAGCTTCTAGAGCCTTCCCACCTACCTCGCAGAAGGCATCCCCTCATGAGAACTAGCAGAGCTGGTTCACAGTGGTCTGGCACCACAAAGCTATCCAGCACTTGCCTTCCCAGAATATTTTCCTAATAGTAATAATTTCCCATTATCCATAATACCATTTCTTCAGCTCACTATCAGGTCTAGTCTTAAAGATGAGTTCCTAACCAGGTGTCCAAACTACACCCTCCTTAGGTCCTCAAACCTTCAATGTCTGGAGGCTTTTTTTCAGAATTGTGGCATTCCAATCTACTTTAAATCTAGAAGCATCTGCCCAAAGGTGTGGCTTAAATCGCCTGTAGCTTTCTGTTACATCATTGCTCTGATTCCTGGAGACCAGTCTCTCTAGGACCACAGCACTCCAACCCGCTAGCCCATCTGTCACCCATGCCCTGCCCTCCAGAGCTAGTCTATTCAGAGACTCCTGTTCTAAAGCAACTTACTGCTTTGGGTCTCTAGCCAAGAATAGCACAAACTCAAAAAAGACCCCTTCTAGTTTCTACTTAGCCACACTCCTAACCACCCCCATACTGCAAGGAGGGCGCTAAGATCAACCGGTTTTTAGCTTTCAGCCCTTCTCATAACGCCTACTCTCCACAGCTCACAGCAACAGGACATTTGAAATCCCTGAGAAGTGTTAAGAGGCCTCAGTTCACTAAAACCAGTATCACTCTCAGGTTTAGAAAATACTTCACAATGATCTGTCATTTCCCCCTCTGCAGGTAAATTAGCTCCAAATATTCTTCACCTCTAGATTTAATTTTTTTAATGAGGCTGTCTCTCCCCATAATCAAATTGCACAAAGACCTTAAAAGGGATTTAAAAAATGCAAACCATAGAAATGATTATTTGCCCAGGAAAGCCCTTCATTCTTTAGGGAAGGCGCTCTGTATTACCTCCACGCGCCAAAAGTTCCACCCAGAGATGCAAGACTCTCCCGTTATAGGTGTGACCGCCAGAGGGCGCACTCCTCTTTCCGTTTCCCCACCAGGCTCCACACACAAGGCCCGTGCATGGTTCCGCAATGCTAAGTGAAAGGAAGGTTGGTCACCCTCACTTTTCATATCTGAGTAAACGGAGTCACAGCCAAAGTTAGGAGCGGCCTTTGTAGGGAACACACAATCAAGGACAGAATCTGGATCTTCAGTTTCTCCCCAGAACCCAGTAATCATTTGCTCAGTGACTCTCAAAGAAAGGCCCCAGTGACTACGTTTTTATTGGTCCTCAAAAAATGAGAACAATACAAACAATTCAATATGTATTTAAGAGTGCGTATTACCTAGCTACAACTGTGGGGGCGGGGGGAGTGAGTCCTTCAAATGTCTTCTTTTGCCTTGGAACTAGGGCTGTCCATATTCTGAGAGTATGGCCTCCTGATTTTTTTTAATTTAAAATGAGGTGGTAGGGATGATAAATGATCATTTTTAAATGTCCTTACTCAGTGAAATGTAAAGTGACAACCCTATGTCCTTTTCCAAAATTAGAAGTACCCGCACAGGTGCATGCAATCCAAAAGCCTAAGAATTCTTGCTCTCCAGCACCCAAATGTTGGCCTCTGGATTTCTGCACTTTTCTATGGCTCTAGCTTGGTCAGCTCTCAGCCAGAGTCACAGAAAAATTCACCCCTGATCCGCAGTAGCCGCCTCCCTTGGGGTGGGGGGATGGGCGTGGCCTGTGGGCAAGGCTGGGCCTGGGGCTTATTCCTTGATACTCCCTGCGTGTTCCCCGTGGGCAGGTACCCAGATCCTGCTGGAGGCCTGTGCCCAGGCTAGCGTGCCCATCTTCATTTATACCAGCACCATAGAGGTGGCTGGGCCCAACTCCTACACGGAGGCCGTCCGGAATGGCTGCGAAGAAGAGCATCTGGAAACGGTGTGGTCGGCTCCCTACCCATACAGCAAAAAGCTCGCTGAGAAGGCCGTGCTGGCAGCGAATGGGTGGGCTCTTAGAAACGGTGGCACCTTGTACACGTGCGCCTTAAGGCCCCCGTATATCTACGGGGAAGGCAGCCCCCTGCTCTATGGCTTTATTGACCACGCCCTGAAGAACAACGGCGTCCTGACACATAACAGCAAGCTGTCCGTGGTCAACCCCGCCTACGTCGGCAACGTGGCTTGGGGCCACATTCTAGCTTTGAGGGCCCTGCGGGACCCCAAGAAGGCCCCAAACGTCCAAGGACAGTTTTACTACATCTCCGATGACACACCTCACCAAAGCTATGATCACCTCAACTACACTTTGAGCAAAGAATGGGGCTTCTCCCTCGACCCCAGCATGAGCCTTCCCGTATCTCTGAAGTACTGGCTCGGCTTCCTGCTGGAAATCCTGAGCTTCCTGCTCAGCCCAGTTTACCAATACCAGCCGCCCTTCACCCGCCACTTGGTGACATTGTTGAATAGTGTGTTCACCGTCTCCTATAAGAAAGCTCAGCGAGAGCTGGGCTACGAGCCCCTCTTCAGCTGGGAGAAAGCCAAGCAGAAAACCACGGAGTGGATTGGCTCCCTGGTGGAACAGCACGAGGAGACCCTGAAAACAAAGAGTCACTGAGCCGGGGGTGACAAGGATGTGGGTGTGGACGTTGTTAGATGTCTGTCAAGCTCCCCCCTTTACGCTTCATACGGAAAGTAACACAGGCACCACTCCAGGTCCCCTTTTAGGAGACAGCCATCTTGGTGTCTTCCTCCTACCATTGGAAACCCTCCCAGTCATCAGCCCTACCAGAAGCTTCCTTGCTCCACCCAACCGCCCAGAGAACAGACAGGCTCCCCAAGTCTCAGTTGCTGATTCTGAGCTAGTCAGGCCTCTTTAACTTAGAATGTTGCCTATTCCATTTCTTTTGTTAGTTGCAAAGTCACTCCTTTGAAGAATTCCTATTCCTTCGCACAGCTCAATGAGGAGAATAATAAATGTTTTAATGCCTAATCTGGAGGAAGTTGTGGATTACGTGAACACATACCTTTCTCCTTTCCCCTCCATTTCCAGGTAGCATCATCTCCTATTAGAAAAGCCACATGAAACTGGGGTGGGCAGAAGGTTCTGGAAGGGGGAACTAAGATTGACTAAACACCTACTATGTTTCAGGAGTGAAACATATGACTGATGTATCTCACCTCATCTAATCCTCACCTATGAGGTAGGAATTCCCATTTCACTGGTAAGGACACTTGTTCATGGTCACACTCATTGGTAAGTGCCCGGGTCATTTACACCAGATAAGACTCATGTGAAAGCCTTTATCTTTCCACTGAATCACGCAGCCTGAATTACCCACTATTTATAGCAAAGTGGGGAGTAGGGGCTGTGGACAGGTTGTCCGCAACACCGCAGAGCCCCCTGGAGCATGGGAGAGCCTGGCTCCTTTGAGTCACTTACTTCTTGCCCAGTCCTGTGCAAGAGACTCCCTAGAACCCAGGAGAGCCCCTGAGGGGCACCCAGGAGGCTGTGCATGCCCTTACCAGATGGCCTGGGCCGGGGAAGGAGAAGCAGAGATGCAGCCAGCCCTCACTACCATGCCAATCCGCTCGGGGGCCTCTAGAACACACCTGGATGTCTGTGTGTTGCCACTCCAGCAATTCAGAAACCCATTTGCCAACATTTCAAATCACACAATGAAGCCACGCCGTGAGTTCCTGGGAAGTAAAGGCACAGGTATGAATTTCCCTGAAAACGAGCGACTATCCCACACCGCCAGACTTAACATGTTCCTCTGAATCACTGACCCCGTCATCCTCAGCTCCTCTAAGGAGAGGAGGCCAATCAAGACACGTTTTGGGGAGACTTAAATAATAACACAGTCATTCACTGAATGGGGGACCAACAGTCAAAAGAAACACTGTCAGCGCCAATAGGGACCATGTTAACTGGAGCAGGTAAGGAGGTGGCTGTGGGGTCGGAGTGAGGGGAGGTGAGCGCTGACTCCCTCGAGACCGGAGTGTTACCTGTCTGTAACCACAGACGCACCAGAGTCACAGTCAGCAACAAGATGGCCTCTCTGGAACCCAGGGAATTTACGGATTCAGAATTCGATTGAATTCAGTTGAACTACCACAAACGAGGTAGTTTATGCATTCACTCTTAAAGAGGAAGGAAAGAAACACTCTGACCCAGATGAGGGTTCCATCACCTTCAACAGCCCCGGGGACAGGTGATCAGAGCCTGGGCATCAGAGTGGAGTGACCCCCGGCGGTGGGTCAGGTGAGAAACGAAGCACTCCCTTCCTGCTTTCCCCCGCCGCACAAAACCCAAGAGCCGGCGTCAGGTCAGCCTTGTAAGGGCACCTTCCTGTGTTTATGCCAACAGTGAAGGGAGGAAAGGCGGGCAGGAGCATCTGAGACAAAAGCCCTCACCCGTGTTTTCAGCCGAGAGAAACCCCACACCTATCAACCCACCAGGGCAAGTCTCACAGGGAAGGGAGGGGGCGTTGTCGCCAAAGGGCAAGGGACGGACATGCGAGCAAAGAGGAGAGGGGATCTGACCAGCTGGCGGTTTCAACTGCACCAGCATAAAGGCCTCGGAATGTTTTGGCCAACGAAGCCGGCCATCCTTGCTTAGGCTGGGCGCAGGCCCGGCGGTGCAGGGCTGTCCAAGCTCCAACCCACAAGCCCGGGCTGCACTGCACGGAAAGCACCGCGCGGGGGCAGCAGAGGCTCGGAGGAAAGAAGGCAGCCGCCCCAACCTGGACCCCCCCTTCCCTCCCCTTCCTCCACCTACGTGCCTGCGCAGAGGACGCAGTAAATGAGTGAAAGCTCAGGTAGGTGCTCGGCCACCGGCTTAAGTGCTAGGTATATATGAGCCCGGAGAACGGAGGGAACAGCCTCACGGATGAGGTGGAACTTCGGCTAGGCCTTGAAAGATGGATGGGACTTGGGTAGAAGCGTGAGGTGGTCCAGGCAGGAGGAAGAGGCTGAGCAGTGGTGTCAAGGAGACGGTGAAGTGTGAGCTGGGAAAGGGGAGGGGCGAGAAGAGGAGTGAGGAGGCCGGCCTGCCAGGTGAGGAAGGTTTTCTCAGGGGAGATGAGGCAGCTTAGGGTGCCAGGTAGCAATGGACTTGAGGCAGGACTCAGAGGCCCAAGGTGGAGCTGGCAAGTGGGTGGGTGGCCCGGTGAAGGACCACCGGAAAAGTGGCAGAAGGCCGGAAAGGTGAGACGTGAGAGGTGGACACCACGGGCAGCCAGACCAGCTGTGGTAGAAACCCCGGGCGTCCTGTCTTTCCCGCAACTACAAAATTATTAACAAACAGACGAAAAACAATAACAAAAACCAACCTCACAATTCTCTCCTCTTACAGGTAAGCTCAAATATCCAAGAAAGAGCTGAAATCTGGGACGAGGGGCCAGGGAAGCTGAGGGACTAGGACTGGCCTCCGCCAGGCCGCCAGGCTCACCCTGATGTGGGTAAGCTATTTACATCCGTGTCACTCTTCATGTGAATACCCACATACCCATGCTTCTTTTTCTGCAAAAATTTCAGTGTGTTTAATTACTAGGGGCTGGCCCAGATCCCGCTGGGGGTGTTACATAATATATGACATATATACTTATTACCTTATGAAAATCCAAAAGAAATCTGAATTCCAAAACACATCTAGCCCCAAGGGTTTGAAAAGACGATGGATGGGCCTCTAGCATGAGAATTACACACCAGGCATTGATCTAAACGCTTTGTATAATCTCATAACGCTCAGAAGTGGGTACTTTTATCAGCCTCATTGGACACGTGAAGAAGTGGAGGCACATACAATGCCACTGGGAGGCAGCCGCCATGGAGCCCCTGCTGATTCATGTTGGAGTGTACCCCAAGTTACCTACCAGATCTCCTGACTCTTTAAGGAAAGCAAAAACTCTCCAACCTTGATGTGAAATGTATCTATTTCTAAATGTTGGCAACTCATCCTAGATGCTGCAAGCAGTGTGAAGGCCAGCTCTGGGAATGCGGTGTGTGGGCCAGTGCTCAAATTGTATGCATAATATTTTATTTCTTAAAACGTGGGTGGTGAGGTGTCGGAGGCAATCTGTTCATTCTTGGTGATAGGTGCTGAGTATATGTTCTATCATATGCTGTACTTTTCTGTATGGTTGATGTGGGTTATAATTTTGTCATCAATTAATGTTGATGAAAAAAAAAAAGAGGCTAGCTAGACGCAGGCCTAAGGCTTCCAGCGTTCCATCTCCGCTCCCGGTCTAATGGGGGTGATAAAATATGAGACGTGGTCAATAGTGTACGTAGTCAAATGGGCAAAGTGCCAAATGGAGGTAAGCTGCTCATCATAATGGAGGAAGATCTCATCTGGGTGAGGCACTCACTGGAGCCCTTTTACCTTTGGACTGGATGCTGAATGTGGGGAACATTATTCCAGGCAGAGGCAATGAAGTCTGCAAAGACACGGAAGTGGGAAAGGGGTGTCATGTTCAGGCAATTCTGAGACCAGCGTGGACAGACCAGAGAGCACAGGAGAGAATGGAAGACACACCGGGAAAGACATGCTGGGAAGGGACCAGGTCACCTCGGGTCACCTCTGCCTCCTTCCTTTCTTCCCCTCAGAGCAGGCATTCCATTCCCCTTCTAAAGACCGTTTGACATTTAACTACTTCACATGTAATGTGCCTGACCTGCTCTGGAAACTTAGACTCTCGGGGAAAATAGCACATGTCCATGTCCTTCCTACAATGAATATGGACAGTTGAGCTACAGAACTTGGAGATTATTCGATACGCACTGGGCAACCTTAGAACATGCTTGTTCAGCTGTCCCTGGGCGATTACTTTGGCAGCAGTGTGTAGGACAGATTGGAAGAAATTAAGAAGATGCTTCAAGAATCTAAGCAAGAAATAAAGGCCTGGTTTATGTAGTGTTAACAAAATGGGATGCAGGGAGCAGCTGAGGCCAGCCTGAGCTGGAATGGACCCTGCTTTAGGAAATGACTGAGTGTGGTCACAGCACCCCTATGCACCCACTTTCTCAAGCCAGAAACCTGGGTGTCATCCCCCGACTCTGCCTCCAACCTATCATTCGATCCTACCACTTATCGCCTCCAAAATGCCTCGCGAATGTGCCCTCTCCTTCCCTGGTAACAGCCTTGGCTCAGGCCCTCTTCTCTTGCCTTTCCTCCTGCCTCAGAGAGTTGCCCATAAAAATCCATCCTCAGCAGCGCTGCTAGAGTCAACCATCCAAACAAAACCCGACTATGTCACTCCCTCGAAACCACTCAGTGGAGCCTCACTCAGGACTCTTAGGATAACGCTGAGCGCCTTACAACAACATATAAAGGCCTCTAAAGTGTAGCCCCTGCCTACCTTCCAGACCAGATCCTCACCATCCCTGCCCTCTCCCCAGATTCTCCACCATCATGCTCCACCAGGAGGCCAAGACTTGGAGCTTCCAGCGTAGGTCCTGTTTTTCCATACTCCCATGCCAACGCGGTATTCCTTCTTAGAGCTCTCCTGCCCACATACCCTCTCAACCCCTTAGTCACCACCCAGTGCTTCCCACTGTGTCACCGCTGTGCCTTGTGCATATCCAATTGCATGGTGATTAGTTATATAGTCTGCGTCCCCTGATCCACTGTCATGTCCCCGAGGGCAGGAACTCACCATTTCATCTCCATGTCCCCCAGAGTCTGGTTCTGTGCCTGACACAAAGTGGGCACCAGGGATGGACGGATGCATGCGTGGATAGACAGACACACAAAACCCAAACTGGACTGGATTGCCGAG